TGGTTAAGTTTACACGCTCTGCTTTGGAGGCCCAGGGTTTCACCAGTTCGGATCCTGGGCATGGACGTGGCACTGCTCATCAAGCCATGCTGAGGCGGCATCCCATATGCCACAACTAGAAGGACCCACAACTAAAAATATACAACTATGTACCAGGGGGCTTTGGGAAGAAAAAGGAAAAATAAAATCTTTAAAAAAAAAACCTGCTAAGACTAAAGGACGAGTGTTGTAAACGTGGGGACATTCAAAACAGACCAAGTGGGGCAGTGAAAAAGAAAAATAGGATCACACTTATCAATAATGGGCATCACATTATCTGTTTTGGGTTTTTTTTTTTCCTTTGGCTGAGGAAGATTTGCCCTGAGCTAACATCTGTGGCCAATCTTCCTCTATTTTGTATGTGAGCTGCCACCACAGCGTGGCCACTGATGAGTAGTGTAGGTCTGCACCCAGGAACTGAACCTGGACCACCAAAGCGGAGCACACCAAATGTAATCAGTAGGCCGCTGGGGCTGGCCCACGTTATCCATTTTTATCTCAAGAAAATTGTAATAACTGAACCTAGTTGCAATAGTTAAGACTACCTAAGGAAATTAAACATTTCTATAGTTTTAAAATTAGAAAATTGATTTCTGGCACTTATTTTTAAAAAATGTGTTAAGGAATTAATTATAAGTAGCCTACATTAAGCAAAGAGCACTGGGCTGGGGCAGAAAGAGTTGGCTCTGTCAGAACTGTCACTGCACAAAATTCGGGTTCTCTGCCCTACACACATAAATGAGCCAATCAATTACGGCATCAGCCTTTGGGAAGAGAGATCAGTTTTATTCTGTAAGATCGATCTTCAGGGAATCAGAGGGTGTGTGCCCTCAGATCTGTCTCCCTGATTCAGGTTTGGGGGCAAAATTTAAGAGGTTAGGGAGAACAGGCTGGCACATGGAAACACAGACGAGACAGGATTTGACTGGTGGGCTTCAAGCATTTATGGTGAGGTTTTAGACACTTGTGACCGGGTTCTAAGCTTTTATGATGAGGCGGGGAAGGAATTTGAACACCAGATCTTCCTGAACGAGGGGCCCCTCGCTTCTGGTAAGAGTCTGGCTTTCGAGTTCTGGTCATGCCCCGGTCCTTGGGTTCTGTGGGAAGGAGGATCTTTGGTTCCCAGCCCGTTTCAGGTCATGATTTCTTCTTTTGTGCATGCCCTGGCTACGTGACTTTGCAGATTTTCTGAAAAGCAATTCTTAATTACTCTGTTGATGAGAGATGGACTGAGATGCACTGAGAGTTTAATTTAAACGCCACTATTTCCTTTGAATCCAGGAGGGATTCAACTGGTCCTGGAGGGCCCGCAGTTACAGAACGAGCTATACAACCATAGACAAGTCTCCATGCTTCTCTGTGCCTCAGTTTCCCCATTTATAGAGGCAGAATCAATTATATCTAAGCTTCCTTTCTTCCCTAAGAACAAAAGATGCTAATTTGGGATAAGATTTGCTTTCCATTGTCAGTTACAGTTTCCTAATGTACTTCATTTTGATCCTACTAAAGGCAGCTGGAGGGAAGAAGACATCTTTTTTATTAAAAATCTAAACAATCAATAGAAGATAGGCTTTCATTTTTACAACACAATCACTAGAGAAGTGATTTAATTCAATACAAATGTATGTGGTACTGATTAAGAGAACTGATGTATTTACTAGCAATATTTTCAGACAAAATTTATAAGCACCAAGTCAAGTCTCCACCTTTTAAGGAGCATTTCTGTACGCTCTGAGTAAGGACTTGATTTATAACTCTCATTCTTTTCCCTTAATGATGTGAAATTTTTCCACATGAAGCTGGGTCTCTCCTTAGCTCAATGTCCTAATTTTACCCTGTCAAAATAACTTTTTTAGGGAGTCTCTATTGTTCTCAGTTAATTTTAACACGAAATTAAAAGTTTCATATGGTGGTGATTTTCAAACTTTACTTTGCGTGCCAAAAGGAACCTTCTAAACCACTTCAATCATAATTGTTACCAGCGTTCCAATAAGGTTTTCATATAGAATCTCTTTTAGACCTCAAAGTGTTCTATAAAGACCACACTTTGAAATTTTGTTCTCTCAAAACATACCCCATACATTAGATAAGGGGTCACTGACCTCATCTTACAGACTTAATAGTCACGAGAGTACAGAACTTCTCACTGGATTCAAAGGAAATAGTGGCATTTAAATCCTAAATCTAATAATCTAATGCTATTCCAGTGGCTTGCCCTCTTTTTTGCCTTTTTTTTATTCCAAGTTTTCTAAAATCATCTGGGAAGTAATAGATCATATTTAATTGTTCAGGCTTTTATGCTGTGCTTTCAGAATCGCTTCTGATTTGTGGCCTGGCTCGGGTTCAGTATTATCCAACACTAGGTTTATTTCATCAGCCCAGTATCAAAGCTTCCTCACTTTAGCCAGAAATTAAAATAATAGCTTTAAGTTTCTCCTCCCTGTCAAGGAGCTAGTCAATAATGCAATTTGCCACATTTTTTGGATGACTCTATAAGCTCCCCATAAAAACTGGATATATAATCCTTTTATTTATTTAACACAGGCACTGTCAACTTTTCCTGCACAGACGGAATCTTTTTTTCCTAGCAACTTTACTTTCTTTTAGTGTTACAAAGTGCCATGAAGCCTGTGATGGGTAACCTGCCAGATTTCACCTGGTCCTCTGAATAAAACCTGATACCTGATGTCACTTTTCTTGTCATTTCTTCTCCTAAAAAGTTTTATGCAGCCAACTATCAGGTGATGAGGGAAGAGTACAGACACCTGCAGAGGCCAACATGGGCACACAGTTCTAAGATGTTAAAAACAAAACATTCCAAATACAAAAATTATCAGAAGAAATAAAGCTCTCTTACAGTATAAGTCAGAGAGACATGACAAATACCCTCAGAGTAACCTGAGCTCTTGCCTAGCATTAGCACTTTTTAAAGCCCAACTGCCATCTTGATTTGTGGTATTCCCACGCAAGGCCATGCAATCCAGTGCCCAGAAATGTTGAGTGCTGGGTTCTTTTCTTGGCTGCCTCTGAGTGACCTTGAGCAAATCAACTCAACATCCCAGTTACAGGAAATAGACAATCCCACAAAATATCTACCTTCCATCTTTACTCACAGCTCCTGGTTCCCCAGAGAATGTGATGTGGATTAGAGACAGGTCCTATGAAAATGAAAAATTATCATCCTACAGAAGACTATTATATAATGAGATTAATCTTTATAACACGTTCCACAGTTCAGGGTAAGCCAGAGACTTTAGCACTTGAACTTCTTCTCTTCCCATAATCACTTGAAAATTGAAGGGAAGAGTTCATGCTGCAAATTCCCTCTATTTTCCTGTTTTAAACCTAACTTTGACATTTAAAAAAAAATTCTTCCTGACTTGCTAACTCTTCTCAATCAAAACTACACAACACTTTAGGTATTCATGCTAAAACAGTGTTCTGGATTTTCTATTTAACTTATATAGACTAAAAATAGTCATCCTAGTTGAAAGAGTGAGTGTACTTTAGTTTATAAACTGCAAGGTTTCAAATCTCTTAAGTTTCAAAATATAGTTAGGAATAAAAAGTTAATTAATGACAGAATATCAAACATTTTTTTGAAAATGGAGATTTGCACTACCAAGGGTATTTTTTTGTGGAACGTGGCAAGCTGATTCTAAAGTTTATATGAAAATGCAAAGAGCCAAAAATAACCAAAAGGCATTTTTTTTTTTTTTTTTTTTTTTGGTGAGGAAGATTGGTCCTGACCTAACATATGTTGCTAATTCTCCTCATTTTTGCTTGAGGAAGATTGTCACTGAGCTAACATCTGTGCCAATCTTCCTCTATTTTGTATGTGGGACGCCACCACAGCATGGCTTAATGAGTGACGTGTAGGTTCACATCTGGGATCTGAACCCACAAACCCCAGGCTATCAAAGCAGAGTGCGCAAACTTAACCATTACGCCACCAGGTCAGCCCCCCAAGCCACTCTTGAATAGGATGGCAGGCTTTACTCCAGCCTCACCGGAAAGCTACCACAAATAACGTGGTGTCACGTTAGTACAAATAGATTAATGGAACCAAAGAGAGAACCCAGAAAGCAACAGACACACACAGATGCTTGATACATGGCAGAAGCGCACCACATAGGGCCAGGACAAGTGGCTATACAGGAGGACCCTTCCTCACACCGTCACAGTGTGTCTAGGTGGAATCAAAGACATAATGGGAAAGGCAAAATTATGAGGCATTTTTTAACTAAAAAATATTTTTAAAAATAAAGAGGGTGTTTTCATGACTTCAGGATATGGAAAGAGTCCTTAAAATCAGACATAAAAGACATTAAACATAAAAGATTGACAGATTTGCCGTTGAAATGAAGAATTTCTGTTCATCAAAAACACCATGAAAAGAATAAAACAATCCACAAAGGGAGAGGATATTTACAACAAATATAATAACAAAATAACAATTAGTAACAAGAATACATCCTACAAATCAATGAGAAAAAGACAGCTGACAGGAATACAACAGAAAGATGGACAAAAGACTTGAATGGGCCCTTTTCAAAAGAAGAAATCTGGTGACCAATAAACACATGAAGACGCTCAACGCCATTCCTACCTAGGGAAATGCAAAACAAAACCACAGAGAATGTCTACTATAAAGACACCACATTGGCTATGATTAGTCAGTCATCATCAAGTGTTGGTGAACTAGCACTCTCGTATACGGTGGATGGGGGGGTGGGAATATCAAATATTAAAGGTGTGCATACCTTATATTCCAGCAGTTAAAATTCCTAGGTAAATACCCTACAGAAATGTGTTTATGTGCATGAAGATGCTCACGGTAGCATTGCTTATTATAGCCAAAAACTGCAAATTTCATATAAGTGCCCATTACAGTAAAATAGACAAAACTGGTATTAATGAAATGATGCATTAAACACAAGGAAAACAAATAAACCACACCTACACGTGACATGAATTTTATAAGCAATGTTGAGTGAAAGATACCGGACACAACACACAGTATGATTCCATTTTTATGTAACACAAAAGTGGACAAAACCAATCAACCATATGATTTGCATACATAACTGGTAAAACCATTCTTTTGAAAGTGGTATTACCATAAGTTAGGATTGTAGTTACCCCTAGGGGACAAAGGTGGTGTCACGAGGGGACACTCAGGATTCTGGAGTGCTGGCAGTAGTTTTTCTGCATCTGGTTTGTGATTACACAACTGTTTGCTTTATCCATTTAACTGCACATCTGTTTTATGTACTTTTCTGTAGGTTATATTTCACAAACTTTAGAAGAACAGGGCTGGTACTACCAAATACTAACACTGATTAAAGCCATGATTATTTAAAGTGTGAAAAACACTAGAAGACCTAGAAATAGGCCCAAGACACACAGGAATTTAATATTCTATAACGACAGCACTACAAATCAGTGGGGAAATAGTGGTTTATAATACTGAACCAATCTGGTCAACCATTTGCAAAAATTACTATTAAATCTTCACCTCATACAATAGCCCCAAGTAAATCTGAGATGGATTGAAAATTGCCTTTTGAATTACAGATGTGTAAAAGTGAAAAAACTTTAATGGTATTAGCAGAAAATAAGGATAAATACATACGCATCCTTGGGGTAGGGAACGGATGCTCAAGCGCATGCGCAAAGGCAGGCTCTTAAAGAAAACAACTTCAACACGGAAACACCAGGAACTGTATTAAAAGGCAAATAAAACACTAAAAGGATAATGACATATGACAAAAGACGGACATCTTAATTCACAAGGAACTTAGAAACTGATAAAAATGGCAAACACTCCGAGAATATAGGAAAGACAGGAATATGCAATGCTCAAAAGAATGAATATAAATGGCCAATAAACATAAAAAAACACTCAACCTTCACTAAGTAATCAAACACAAATTTTAAGGTAATCCTTTTCTGCAATTATTCATTCTGCAAAGATTTTAAACAATAATTTTCAATTCTGGGAATTTGATATATTGCTAACGAGAATGTAAAGGAACACAGTCTTTGTGGTGAGTGATATATATCAAGATTCGCAAAAATTTATTTACACTCTCACCTAGCAATTTCACTTCTAGAAAGGTATCTTCTGGAAATAAGTCATTTTTATACAACATGATTATCTTTAAAGATGTTGATTGCATCACGGTTTACAGGTTACATTATAATTAACAATCAAACTGTCGCACAATAAGTTGATTTTAAAACTTACAGTATACCCATAAAATGGAACATCCTGTAGCTATCTAAAATGCAAACTATTTAATGTAGGAAAATGTTTACAACCTATAGACTATGAACCAACGTGCAGCATGATCACATCACTGAAAATATAAACGCCTAGCTATGCATAGAAAAGTAAGTCAAAGAACATATACCCAAAGGTTAACAGGGGCTCCCTCTGGCTGGTAGGTTTACAAGAGACTGTATGCACACGCACGAGAGCCCTTCCGTATTATCCCGCTTTCCAGAAATGACATGTGTTATTCTATAAAGAAAGAACATCAAATAATTTATGTTGTGAAATCATCTGCTATTAGTTTTAAAAACTAATGAACTTGTTAGCTCAGTTTACTTTTTACATTTGCTTTTTGAGGGGACAAAAGGGGGAGGTAAAGCAGTAGACACAACTGGAAGTGCGTGATACAGAATGGAGCCCTCGCCATCACACAAACATCGGTCCTACGTGTACCTTCAGTCAAATTTCCTAAAGTGAACAGTCTCTTTTACAGTAAGGAATTAAATTTAATTAAGCACCAGCAAAACATCACCATTAACATCTTGAAGTTGCTCTAATTAATATTTTATTCTTCCCTTCAACACTGTTTAAAGGCTCCAACATATTAGACAAAGAACTGATAACATAAGTGTTAATTTCTCTGGAGACAACTATATAATCCTTTAAAATTACAGAAACATGTTAGCTTGAGGTTTCTGTAGCCTACATATGCCTCTTTTGGGGGAAAAAAAAGCAAGGTATTGACAACATTTCCATTGTAGCTTTAAAAAAAAATAGGTTTTCTTACCAAACGTTACTGTACTGTAACTGAACCCATCATCTGCTAAGAGCAATGAACTCGTCAGGCAAACGCAGGAGGAGCTACTCCCTTCAGCTGGAGGAGTCATCTCAGACTGTTCCTAAACCTCATGTTACTCCAGGCAACTCTGGTGATCTAGAAAGACCATCCACCCTCCAGCAGCTACTGACAGTACTTCTTATTCCTAATCAGAAGATAACGTTTCTTCTTAAGGGAAGACAGAAGAAGGAAACAAACATTTGTTAAGTATTTTCTATGGGTGTCTTCCCAGGTACCTCACAGCCAATACCTCAATAACCCCATGCAGACATGCATAAAATTCGCTACACTGCTCCCTTCATTACTCAAAATAGGAGGGAACTATATTGTCCTAATTCATATTAGGCGATGCCTGGGACAACTAAATGTTTCACTGAAAGACGTGATAAATGCTAATTGATAAAGGAAATAATAAGGAAAAAAAGCAGCCACCTGCTTAGATTTGGCTTAGAAAAAAAAAAATGTGCTCTACTATATACTAAAATACCAGACCAACATACGACATAGTGCAAAACTTTAACACAACGTGGTTAAACACAACATTCAAATATTAAACTTTTTGAGCACATGAAAGTTATCTTCTGAAGGACAAACTGGGCTACTTTTATAGCTACCTTTACGTAATTTTTAAAAATTCTTTCCCTCAACAATGTCTGACACTGATCTTGATACTTGGTAGAAAGCCTGATGTATGACGATGACATCTCAACAGGCAGAGATTTAGGAGATTATCCCAATGCCTGTCATGCCCGTCTTCAGAATTCATCATCAGAGGACTGATCATCATCTTCATCCCTTACTTCTCGGTATTTCCTCAAAGTCTCCCCTTCTGGATTATAGCTCTGCATTTTAATATTCAATCTTTCAGCCAATTTTTGTGCTGCGAGCTTGGCTTGCATCTCCTTTAAAACAAAAAGCAAAGCAGAAAGTTACACATTCGCATCTTCTCCCTACAATTTTGCTAGGGGAAGTCATTTAAACAGAATCAGAAATAAAGAGGCCTTAACAGTCCACTTGGTGCTCTCCACAGCGTTATGATGGGCCTGACGCTGTGCCTACCACAGATACCAGAGGGCAACACTGGCGAGAGCTCGAGCCTGCCACAGTTGTAGTTACAGGTTTCCATTAATAAACAACAGTGCATGGAAATATCCCACCTCTACATGAGAAATCGAGTAGCCAGCTTAGCACCACAAGTCATAAACACGGATGCATTTTTAACTATGTGGGCACATGCATGTGTATATACAAATTCACAGAACAATTTGGGCTACTGAAGGTCAAAAACCACTAATGCTGTGCTGATGCTCCAACTGAAAGAATCTTCTTTCCAAGATTAAAACATGGCTTCTAGGCTTGAGAGTTACATTTCAATGTCATGATGAAAATCAAGAAATTAATAACAAAAAGCTGACTCTCCAAATTAAGTCCCATGAACATTACTATGCAACAAAAAGTCCAGGTAAACTGCAGACCCTGGCAATGTGCTTTATACACCCAAGGATATTACCACTAACTGATGGCAGGTGGCAATGCTCATTCCTAATCCGGCTCTTCACCCTTCTCATGCTTTCCCCCACATCACTTGAACTTCTTCATGTCCTTCCCCTCAGGCCATGAATATTATGGGTAGGTAGGACTGAAGTGGCAGCTACTACTATTACTCCACCCAGGAAACCAATTTTAAACTCAAGGGTTTAATTCAACTTAATAATATCTTAGGACAGGCATTTAAGGTCATATAGACAATTTAAAAAGACAATTCATGCATGCTATAGTCATAACTAGGCAATATTTTCATGCCCTGAGAGGAAGACAAGTGGATTTTAAAAAGGAGTGCCTTAAAAAGGCCAATCCATGCCAACTAAGCTTTTAGGAAAAGCCGAGACAAAAATAAAAGCCTAGTTCTGGAGTAACTGGTATAGAGTCCCTGATGACAACCCAGCTGAGCCACACCAGGGAGGGAGGCTGCTGTCTTCCTCGAGGCTCCAATTATTACTACCTAAGCACATCCGACCCCTTCTTTTCTCACTATGGTCCTCACACTTATTTTCTCCCATCTCAGATTATCCTGTACACAAATTATCAATACACAAGTTTAAAGATCCACGCGGAACACAAAGATCTTTGAAGAAAGTGCTATGCAAAACTGCTCAAGTCACTAACAGTAGGAGATTCTTCTATCTTCACAGGGGCCCGCAGATTATGCTTTTAAGCTTAGTGGCCAATTGTCCAGACTCAACACTATTCCCCCACCCCTTTCATGCTCTCCCCTATAATGCAGGAGATGGAAGCCTGGAAACCACATTTCCCTAACCTTTTTGGCAGGGCTCTTGGATAGGGTCCACCACCGAGAAGCTCTCGCACTGGTTTTACAAGGTGGCAGACAGAGAAGCGATATTATTGCTACCCTAACAGTACGGGCTCTGAGAGAGGTGAGATTCCGCAGCTGTCTCCCCACATTTCCTGGTAAATACCACTTTGATGTTACAGGTAGCTATGATCATCTCCAGCTGTTTTCTGCAGCTCTAGCAACTTCCAGACCCTCTGAAAGCTAGAGGCACATGTCTGAGAGCTAATGACATTAGCTGACCATTTCCCTAGTACCTAATCCCTTCAATTAAATGCCATCCTCCTTGAACTACCTAGAGTAAATTCTGACTTAAGTAAGCAACATCCAACACACAGACAAGAAACAATTAATACCCTAAATACCTCGTAACTCTGTTTCTGCTGTTTCTGAAGCGCCAAAGATTCTTCTATGGAGAGCAGCTGCGTAGGCAGGTGATGAAGTGGGAGAAGCCGAGCTGCCGTGATGTCATCCAGATGCTGCTTCTCCCTGCGCCGCCTTTCTTCTGAGGACACAGGAGACCCTCTTCTCCGACAATCACTCGGTGAACCATGTTGTTGTGAAGGTAAACTGAAGAAGGGAAAACTTATGTTATACCATCAGACCATTTTCTTTTTATAGACACACATTTATAACGTTCACACACACACACAAGTGCCCTTTAACCTTAGCAGTTAATTCTTCCACAAAGATAATAGTAAACCGTTTACCAATATTTACATTTGTAGATAAAATCTTCCCCTTTTTTTAAACACGTTTACTTCAAAAACAGGAGTATTTAAATTGGGAGCTTTTCGGAGAGTAATTTGACAATTCATTCATTGCTCTAACAGATAATAGGTACAGATAGGCTCTTTTCCTTCTCTCTTCAAACCTTACACTTTAACTGAAGCTATCTTTTCATTTTTTCATTCAAAAACATTTGCAAAGGGGCTTAGTGCCCAGTAGAGAGAAACAAACTTGTAAACAGTTTCAGTGCAATATAGTATCACAGGTACCATGATACACATTTGTACATGGTACGCTGGAACATAAAGAAGCAAACAGCCAGTTCCAATGGGAAGACAGGGAGGGTGTCAGAAAAGCTTCAAAAGAGTAAAATTTGAGGAGTCTTGGAATAATAAGTGCTCCCCATGTAAAAAGGGGAGAAGGGTATCCCAGCTGGGAGGGACGGGCAAGAGGCTGCAGCACAAAAGGAAGCACTGGAGGCGCAAGAGTAGGAAAAGGCAGTGGATAGTCTGGGGAGGAGGGAGGGTCCAGCCCACAGTGAAGAGTTCTATTCTGTGTAACAGGTTCAGATGAGCATTCATGAATTTCACTCTGGAAGCAAGGAGGGGATGGACTGATAGAATTAAGACTAGAGGCCAAAGAGGTCACAGTTATGGCCCAAGAGAGGGATGAGAGCCTTCACTGAGACAGGGGAGAAGATGAAGGTAAGAATGGTTAGAGAAGAAGGTCAAGGATATATATTATGTAGGTCTTCATGGCTAGCAGAGGGAGATGAGGGAAAAGGAAGATACTTTAGACAAAAAACCAAGGTGGTGGCACTATTAACTTAGGGAGTATGAGAAAGTCAGTGTGGGAAGAAATGAGAGTTCCACTTCATACACCGCCATGGTCAGGTTCCACAGGTAACAGGCCATGCAAATCTGAAGTTCCGAGAAGACCTGGGCTACAGGTAGATGAGGGGCAGCCTCCAGGACCCAGGTGGTAATGGAGCCAGGAGAGCGTGCAGGAGGCCCAAAGACACCACCTCATCTCACTTCCCAACCTCCAGCTGTCTACGGTATACTGACTCACCAGGGCCCAGCCTTTCCTGATAACTGCACACAAGTCTCTGTGGCTGGCTGTCTCTCAGAAACTTCCTTAACCTTTGTGGCCCTCATTGCTATTCCCTTATCCCCCTCTCAATTCCAGTGACATGACCATAATAGAGAACCGGGATCGTTTTATTCTCTGTTGAATGTATTAACTAGATGATGCTTCTGGTCTTCTGTCTCCCTAGAAGTGAGGAGAGATACCTCACTGCACATAAGATGAAAGATTACTTGATCAAAGATTACTTTCTATTCCTAACTAAAAATTAATGTAATATAATTCTGGTTTTCTACACTGAAGAAACAAAATGGTTTGAGGTTAAAATAAAATGAACGGTGGGGTAGGATTAAACTTTAAAGTCTCTTTATAATAATAAAAAAATGATTTTAGGTATTTTTAACCAGACTTTTTCAGTTTTTCAAAGACAGGCAGAGCGGCTGACTTTGTATCTGAAATCTGGGCAGGTACCAGTATTTGCATACAAGTAAATAACATTCTTTTCTCTTCAAAGAGCTTTTCTTTTTCTGAAGATCTCAAGAACAAAACTATGACAAGGAATTTAGAAGCAGGGCTAGTTAGATCCTGCCTGAATCTGCTTTCAGTTTTTCTAATCCCTTCTCAGTTCCCTTCCCCCTGAAGTTGTTATTATATAATTTAATGTCCTTCTAAGTGTGTAAGCTTTGGGTCCTCATCCAGGTCCTAAACTCTCTGCAAGCACAATCTTTCCTTCTGTGTCCCACGGCAACTGCTGCTTACATCGAGTGCGCACAGAAATATCTTCTGCTGAGAAAGTCTATCAGCTCCTGCTAGTGCTTTTCCCTTAGCCTACAGTCTAATCAAAGGGGGGAGCTGTCTACCAGAAAATGGTTCTGGAAAAAAAAAGCATAATAAAGTCTCTAACTCTGTAGTTATTATGAGATATTGGCTAAGTATCCTGAAATTTAATACTCCATCTGCTATTTAAAACCTTTTCAATTATGTGGGCAAGAAAACTAAAGTATTTTTCAACATGAATCCTCTGGTCTGTTTCCACAATATGCTCATTCCTAACCACAAGAAGTTCTCACACAAAGGTCCACTGAACTGAGAGTATTCTCCTAATTTTTGAGTTTAACAAACATTATCTTCCTGTGACAGGCCTGTTTCCGATGGTACTTACACATTGGTTTTAAATTTGTGTGGTGGCAGCACTGGGTTTTTGGCTCGCATTTCGAGTACTTCCATGTAATGAGGCTTCTTCTGAGGCCCACTACAAAGGCCTGTCAAGTTCTCAGGACTCGAATTTTCTTCCAAATGGTGTTCACCTGGGTCTGCAATTGTGATCCTTTGTAACCTATCAATAACCAGGTTGTCAGAGCTGCTGGAACGATCTTCTGCTTGACTTGAAACACGATGCTGAGGGAGATGCTCACCAGCTTCAGACGAGGAGGGCACCCTGGCTCTGCTGCTGGAAGCTGGGCAGCTGTTCACTGTGTACCAAACCTCTGAAGCCCCTGCATCGCCTCTGCGAGTAGGATGTACAAGTCCCTGTCGTTGTGAGGTTGTTTTAGATGACTTGATGTTGTCTACAGAGGAACGGCCAGGAACTAGTGATGAAGTATCAAGGATCTGGTCAGAGTTGTGGGCCTTATCCGTGTCCACACCTGCTACTGCTCTTTGCCTTAGCTTACGGTCTACACTAACAGGATGAAACAGTTTACTTTTCCCTCTAAATTCTTCATATTCTGCAATGGCAGCTCTCACTTTGGCAACAGAGTCTAATATCTTTTTACCTTTGTCGGGCAATTTGTAAATGAATTTTCTGTCAAATGGAAAAGAACACGTATACATTAGAGCCATGTTTTGAAACGTGAGATAGAAAGACAAAGCATTATGGTCAAAGGGAGAAAAATGGATCTTTAAGGCAAAAATCTGATTTCCAACTGCCCCAAAACAGGAATGAAATCAGACAGTCACTATGCAAATACCTCAAAAAAAAAACAAGGAGATGCAGGAAGAAAAGGGAATATGCCTCATTTGTCTCATCTAATTAGAATTTCAGCAAAAGTATTTTAAGCATATAAGTACCATATAAAACATTCCAAAAATCAGCAGTTTCTAAAGTGTGATCTCTAAGACCTTCCTGGGAAGGGAAGGTGGACAGGTCTGCAAGGTCAAAACTATTTTCATGAAAATACTAAGATGCCACTCGCTATTTCACTCTCATTTTCTCACACTGATACAGTGGAGTTTCCCAGAGGCCACATGATACGTAATGATATTGCTCTGACGGCTAACGGAATGTGTGTGCTTGTGTATTCTTCTGTTTTAAACATTTCTTGTTTGTAATTCTTAATACATTGATAAATATTCGTAAATATAACACCCATAAAACAAGAGTGCTTTGGGATGCTCAACAATTCTCAAGAGTATAAAGGGGTCCTGAGACCAAAAAGTTAATTCACTGCTATAGATGAAAATCCCATTCTCACAAAAGTCAAAAAACTTGTCTCTACTAGGAAGCCCCCAAGTGATCATTTGTCTCTTTTGCTGAGTGACAGAAGTTACTTTTCAGATTCCCTTTTCTTTACCTATACAATAAATGGGGAGGGAAGTTACATCCCAGGCCCTCTATTCTTTCTGTGACACTATATTCGTTCCTTTCCACAATTCCAACTATCAACATCTCTCTCCACTTGAGAGTCTTGTATTTTCCCAAACTTCTCCTCTCTCTCTTGAGCCTCATGACCTCTTCTCCAGCTTTTAACACGGTAAGCAGTTAATTCAACACACCCTAAGTAAAGTCAACCTGGGACCTAGCCCCACTCCTCCATTTTTCCTATTTTCATTAATGGTTCTCCATACCATATCTGGAAACTTCAGCCTTCTCCTTCAACTACGCATTCAATTCTTCCACGCCTAATGTAGTTTTTCCAATCCCCCGACTACCTTTCTATTTTACTTTCTTACAACCCCCTTGTTGGTAATCTCTCTGAAAATATCTTTCTGCTTCTTACTCCTTCAAGCCATCCTGCACCAAGTTGCTAAATTAAGCTTCCTAAAAAATACTACTAAAAATACCACTAATAAAAATCACTTCCATTATATAGTCCCCCTGCTAAAATCTGTTAAGTCGGCCCCCTGAATGAGAGTCAAACTTTCTCTGCCTAATAGACCACTCTTTACATCCCACTCTCTCTATTTCCTAGGGTTCCTGTACAAATAAGATCTAGGGATGAAATCGACAAGGTGTCTGGGGCACGATGAGGGGAGCGGGAGGAAAGGATGTAGGATTCAGAACTCCCTGGGGGCAACCGACACGGTAGCTGAGTAAATAAAACCAACGCGGAGCCAACGGAGAGCTGAAATGCCGGCCAGGACGTGGGCGGCTGTGCGGTCGCAGGCCGTCCGCTCGCGGCCGAATGGGCCGATCTGACTGAGGCAAGGTCACCTTCCAGGCAAGGGACGGGGTGAGGGAGCGGAGGGACACGTCCCGGGCAGCCCGAACCGAAGGAGCCTGGCAGGGACTCGGCGGGACCCAAGCTTACTCGTTGCGCAAAAGTCTCTCCTGGCGCTTCAACATCTCCTGCAGCTCCGCCAAACTCCGCCGCGCCAAGTCCTCGGGAGCTGGGGGCTCGAAGCCGCGGGCCTGCGAGCACATTCTGCGGGGGCTGCGGCTGGCGAGGCGGCGGGCACTCGGCTTCCTCGGCAGCCCCCGCTGCTGGCGCCGGATCCGCGGCCGGCGGGGACTCCGGGGCACGAGCGGGAGCCGCCATTTTCCCGGAAGAACAGGTCTTCTTCGAGCCGAATCGAGCTTTATTGAAACGCCGGAAACAGACACAGACAAGGAGAAGGGGGCGCCCGAAGGGGCGGGAAGGGGCGGAAGGGGCGGGGTGACGTCACGCCCCGGCTGAGTGTGCTTTCGCACCATTTGTCGTTTGTCTGTTCCGCGGCTTTTCGTCTGTGTAGTCAAAAAGTATTTACTGAGTGCCACCGTGATCTCGACAGATAGCCACGGCCCCTGCCGTTATGGAGGTTACCGAGTGGCGGAGGAGGCCGACATCAGTCAAGTAAGAATAAAACAATGTAGTAGGATTGGGATGGGCACCAGGGAAGGTATCTCTGAGAAGTGAAAGGCAAGTTGAATCCTGAGTGATGAGTGAGTGAGCCATTGGTGAGGGTGAGGGAGTGCACGACAGGGCTTGGGCTCCTAGCCCAAGACGTAGCGAAGTCCTCAAATGTTACAGTTGCAAGGATGCTTAGGGACTATCAGTGTGTCTTAATGGGGCTCTGTGGCATCTGGAGCAAGACCTTCCTCTGCGGCGCTGCCTCAGGCATTGCAAGACACTTGGTGTCTGGCTTCTGCCCACTGGTTGCTAGGTCACTCCCAAGTCGTTGTAACAGTCCAAAACGCGTCCCCTGACCCCTACACACACATTTCCAAAGGCCCGCGAGAGGTGATGGGCGTGGGAGATGCTGTCCGAGCCAGTTGAGAATCTCCTTCGCAATTCCCTATTTTGCTTATAGAGAGACAGAGGCACAAAAACTGAAGTGTTCCCAGGACGCCAAACTAGTCAGTGAGAGCATCAGATTTCGAATTCAAATCCCAGCTGCTCTTTGCATCACGTCAATTTGAAAATCTCCTTCTTCAATTTATGCCTGTTTCCAAATGCATAAAATTGTTAAAAAGTTTTTATTTTCTGGCTGTTGAGAAGAAGGCAGTATAATAAACATCACATCCAGTTCTTACCTTCTCTTTACAGTTCAGTTACCAGAGCTGTGTCCCAAAAGTTAGAGGAGGAAGTATGCAAGAGTTGTGACAGACATCGATTGGGAGGTTTGAAGGCCCCCGTAACCTCCAACACCACCTCCCCATTCTCTGATATGGAGAATTTTAATTTTCTCAGTCCTCTGTCAGGTGCTATGATAAACACAAGCGATTCCCTCCCAATCAGACAGAAGCTCTAGATAAAATCTGAAGCTACTCCAGGGTGCACGGTTGTCATTTCTGTATCCTCCCAATCTAGTCCTTTCTAATCAGATTAATGTATCAAAATTCTCAACATAAGCCTTGCTTTCAAGGACTTCAATACCTGCTTCAGCCCTGGCAAAATAAGCAATACTTGAGTCAGGTTCCCTGGCAGGCTCCCCCAAAACCTCACTCGTCCTGTCCCTGGGCACAGGTGGAGGCCTTTAGTCCTCTACAGCAGTCATCCCCATCTTCTAAGACCTTGGGCCACAGGTGCTCTCAAGGCAAGGATGCCTTTCTCTCAGACCTCAGAATTTTGTCCCTGGCTGTTGTCCTCTTGTGGAAGGCTGTCCCTTTTCCCCCAGCCTATTATAAATCTTGGCTCAAGTCTCACCTCCTCCCTGAGCCTTCCTAGATTATTCCAACCCGAGTTGCTCTTTCTTTTGAGCACAACTGTGAACCTCATTATGAACCCCACAATATGAAGCGCATAATGCTTCTCTCATTGTGTTGTGCATGGTGCTTTTTCCTTTCTAACAAAATTGTAAAGTCAGGGTGCTGTGTCTGTACTTTTCTGTCTCCCCGAATGCACGTAGCAGGTACTAATTGACAGAATCTCCCTCTCTCATGATATTTTTTTCTCCATATCCTCTTCTCTTAATGAAATGTCCCTTTTGTATATACAAACCTTAAGCTTTTCCATAAGTATTGACCATAATTACTGTGAAGCTATTTTCAACGGTATGGGATAGAATCTTTTACACAACATAGCTTAGGACTTCAGAATGTCATAATACAAATCTGAATTCCTAACAACGCCTGTGCGCAAACTGTCTAGCTCTCTTTTCAGTAACCAAGCAGGCTATTTGTGCTTCAAAATGAAAACAGGCAAAGTATTCTTTTATAATCCATCAAACAAACAAAAAAGATGAGTGTTTAGAACATGAATTTTAACAGCAGTGTCTGAGGCAAGGGATGTGAAATGGAGAGATTTCACAAAGAGAGAAATCAGTACCATGGGTTTTACCTGTTTCCGTCCAAACCAGGCAAAACACTTGAAAAGAAATGGACCCACAAACCACAGGCAGCTAATCTCTGCTGAAGAATTCCAATTGTGTATCAAAGAGCCCACCTGTGACAAAATCGAATCTAGATGAGTGTATTTTGGTTTTGGTTTTTCAATGCTCATTAAAAAAATCTAAATCATGTTTCCTATGATACTTGGATTAATCACCTGGGTGTTAATTGCCCTCAGAGCAAACTAATGAATTTGGCTATTAGAAAGAAAGAAAAATTTACAATGAAGAGTAAAGGAAAGGAAAATCTCATCAGCATATGAAGTGGTGCCCGGATGACTTAGCCATCCCATTGCCACCAAGCTCCCCAAGGACAATGTTAGAATGTGATTTTAAAAAGAAAATCAAACAAAAAAACCTGGGAAAGATTTCCATTTGTCCTTACAGAGTTGAAGATAAAAATTGCCAGTCAACTGTAAAATTGTAACATCAATCTTCCGAGTCTTCAGGCTGCTCTTCTCTGTTTTCTCCCAAGGATTGTCAGTTTGGGGGTGTGAATGGCAACAAAACTGGTCACAATATACCTGGAGTACGCCAAAATGGCGGGAAAAGTATTCCCCATCCCACATGTGCTTAGGTGTGAATTTAACACTCTTCTTCTCAAGAAATGGGGTTGATGTTCCCTATTCTTAATCTGGGCATGCTTGTGACTGGAGCAAAAGTGATTTTTCCAGTCTAGGTGATAAAAGGTGATGCAGCATGTGCTTAATTTTCTTGCGTGCTTACTCTTGGAACCCAACCAGCAAGCCGTGCAGAAGCCTGAGTTTGTGTAGGTGTTTTGGCTGTCAGTTCAAGCTGAGGTCTCAGCCGAAAGGCATCATCAGCCACCAGATGCGAGAGTGAACGAACCTGTGGAAGATTGCAGCCCCCAACTGTCAAGTCACTAACAGCCTTCCAGACTTCCAAATTGGAGCCCCAGAAATTGTGGAGCAGAGACATCCTCACTAGGCTTTTTCTGAATTCCTGACCTACAGAATTTGGGGGCATAATAAAAAGGTGGTTATTTCATACTTTTAAGTTTGGAGTGGTTTCTTAAACAGCAATAGTAATAGGAACATTATCCAAGGTTAATCCCTCCATCTGTGCTCTGGATCCCATCTGTTTTGCCTCCTTGATCTCATTCATTTGTTCAATACATACTTATTGAGTACCTATTGTGTATAAGACACTGTTCTAGGCTTTGGAAATATAGTGATGAATGAGACAGTTTCCTGCCATGTTGAAACTTACAATCTATCAGATAGTACTAAGTGTTACATAGAGAATTAATGTGGGTGATGTGATAAGGAGTAATGGGGAGGCTACCTTGATTGATTGGGAGATTGAAGTTAGTTTTTCTGAGGAAGTAACTTATAAACTGAGACCTGAATGACAAGGAGCAGTTAGCCATAGGAAAGTCTGATGGAAAACCATCCCAAGTAGAGGGAAGAGCAAATACCAAGGGTGTAAAAGGAGAAAGGGCTCCACAAATAACAACAATTAAAAAGGCTGGGGGTAGGGCTTGTAGGGCTTTGTAGACGAGGATATGGAGTTTGAATTTTATTCCAAGAGAAATGGGAAGCCATCCGTGGTAGGCAGCCTCTAGGATGGCCTCCAATGGTCCCCCTAGTGAGAGGTCCCCCTCCCACTGAATATGGGCTGGACTTACTGACTCACTTCTTACAAATAGAATATGGTAAAATTCTCTTTTTACCATGTGGCTGAGTGGTTAAGTTCTCATGCTCCACTCCGTAGGCCCAGGGTTTCACCAGTTCGGATCCTGGGCGTGGATGTGGCACCGCTCATCAGGCCATGCTGAGGCAGGGCCTCACATAGCACAGCCAGAGGCACTCACAACTAGAATATACAACTATATACGAGGGGCTTTGGGGAGAAGAAGAAGAAAAGAAAAAAAAAGATTGGCAACAGATGTTAGCTGAGGCGCCAATCTTTAAAAAAAAAGTGATACAAATGGCAAAAGTGATGAAGTGTCACTGCCAAGATTAGGTTATAAAAGAGTTGAACGGATATTTCACCAAAGAAGATGTACAGATGAAAAATCAGCACATGAAAGGTCACCAATGTTATTAGCCATTAGGAAAATGCAAATTAAAAACACAATGAGATACTACTACACAACTATCAGAATGTCTGAAATTAGAAAGTTTGACTACACCAAGTGTTGGAAAAGATGTGGAATGACTGGAATTCTTTTACACTGCTAATGGCAATGTAAAATAGCACAACCACTTTGGAAAACAGTTTGGTAGTTTCTTAAAACCTACCATATGACCAAGCCATTCCTCTGCTAGGTATTTACCCAAGAGAAATGAAAGCATGTGTCCATACAAAGTCTTATACATAAATATTCACAGCAGCCTCATTTGCAATAGCGAAAAACTGGAAACAACTCAAGGTCTATCCCTAGGTGAATGGATAAACATTAAATTGGGGTATATCCATACAGTTGAACACTATGGTATTCATGCAACATGTCACGGCTTCACGAATCTCAATTATACTGAGTGAAAGAAGCCAGGAAGAAAAGAGTATGTACTGTATGATTCCGTTTATATTAAAATTCTAAAAAACGCAAACTAACCTATGGTGACCAAAGTAGATCAACGACTGCCTAATGATGTGGGGTGGCAGGGAGAGGCTGGGGGGAAGGATTACGAAGGGGCAGGCGGAAACTTTTGGGGGTGATGGATATGTTCATTATCTTGGTTGTGGTGATGTTTATATGGGTGTATTCATTTGATGTCACAACTTATCACATTGTCCACTTTAAATCCACAGAGTATAGCATGTCAGTTATACCCCCTATAAAGCTGTTAAAAGTGCCCCTCTAGCTTCCACCCTCTCTTCTTCTTTTGGAGATAAGCTTCCTAAAAGGCTTGTCCACACTTGGACTCCACATCCTCACCACTCTCACCAGTGCCGTGAACCTCCTCCTGGTTGTCAAACCCAGGGAGCAGGTTTGAGTCTTTCTCCTCCTTGCTGCATCTGACCCTGTTGACCATTTTCTCCTTCTTAAAGCTCTCTCCTACTGTGAATTCCATGCTACCAATCTCTCCAGGCTTTTCAGCTCTGGAGTTTTTGCTCTGGGGCTAGAATTAGAGTCAGGGCAAGGACTTTACCACCTGGATGACCTAACGTTTTCTCAGGTTCAACTTGTCCAAAACTGACCCCAACCCACTCTTCCTTTTTAAAATTCCCACTGTTTAATGGCATTCCCAGCCACATAGGTGCCCAAGTCAAAAACTAGGCATTCATACCTGACTATTCTTTTTCCTTCAACCCAACTGGTCACAAAATCCTACAGCCTATATACCCTCTTCTCTGCACACTCTCCCTCCTCCCACCCCATTCAGCACCTTCCCATACACCTGTCATTGCCTCCATTGCCTCTGTGCAAGCCCTTGAATGAACAATTATAATAACCTCCTAAAACAGCTTCCTACCTGTATCCTAACCTGCTCTTTTCCTCTTAATTGCTGTGAGACAGTTTTTTTCCCTTAAATCTAATTTCACTTCCTTCACTTGGAATACTGATTTGGGGAACACCAATGTCGATGTAGTGAAGCCTGGAAGTGTTTAATTCCACACTTGTTGGGCCTCTCAACACACAGAGATGATCTTTCCACCACGTTGGGATCACTGGACGGTGGGTGGGGGAGTGCGGCAGGGGGACGTGCAGAAGCATACCCAGTGTCTCTGCCCAGACTTGGCCATAGTGGCAGTGGTGTGTCACAGTGGTGGTAGTGTATGATACAAGCGTAAATGAAAAATTTAGCCTGACTCCTGCCACGTGGCAGGAACTTGGGCAGCAGAATGATGGCTGGTGAGAGGTTAGCCCCCAAGAGATTTTAAAGGAGAGGATAGGCAGATATCTGGACCACACAAGATCATTAGGAACAATGATCACCAATAAAAGGAGCTTGTGATGGTTAATTTTATTTGTCACCTTGGTTAGGTGATGGTGCCCAGATATTTGGTCAAACATTATTCTAGATGTTTCTGTGAAGATGTTTTTTGGCTGGGATTAACATTCAAATCAGTGGACTTTGAGTAAAGCAGATTACGCTTCATAATGTGGGGGGGCCTCATCCAGTTGAATGAGTTGAAGGCCTTAAGAGAACAAAGACGGACACCTCCCCCACCCAGGAAGAAGGAATTCTGCCTGCAGACAGCCTTCAGGCTTGAACTGCAACAGCGGTTCTTCCCCGGGTCTCCAGCCTGCTGGCCTACCCTGCAGTGATAATCGCCTGAGCCTTTTTTCAAAAATGAATCTCTCTTGAGATTCATTTTAAGGAATTGGCTCAAGTGATTACCTATATAGACACACACACACACCCTGTTGGTTCTGTTTCTCTGAAGAACCCTGACTAATACAGAGCCCAATAGCATCGATGGGTTAGGAAACTCAAGGCTTGTTTGATAACTGGACTTCAGAGTGAGAGAACTGACTAAGGGGAGAGCAGACTAGCCTTTGCTCTGCCCCTGCTATGTGCTGGGCACATGGAGAAGAGATGGGAACCAAGGGTCATAAACAAGTTTGAAGCAAATTCTATTTTCTTTCTTGTTTTGTTTTTAAGCATCATTTGAGAATGGAACATGCCAAACTTTCAAACAAACCATAGCAGCCATAGCTAATGAAAAATTAACAAAGAATGGCAAGCCTAAGACTTATTGAACCATAATGGCTGACATCTGTGTGCCATTAACCAACCCTCCTTTTCCAGTCAGTCCCCCAAACTGCTTGCTCGATGGGCAGAGCAGTGGGATTATCCCCACCTTACAGAGAGAGAGATGAGTGCTAGGACCTCCTGAGCCCCTGTCGATGGGCCACTCTCATCTGTCTGTCCCTCACAAACAACTGACAAGAGCCTGGCCAGTTAGGGAAGAGAAAGTAAGGGAGGGAACAGGGAATTGGAATTGGGTATGAGAAAAACAGAGTGAAAAAAGAGAAGAGAAAGAAACGGTTAAAGGGGGAGACACAAAAGTGGATGGGGCAGCTAGGGGGAGAATGTTTCTCTGCACAGAAATGAGAAACAGAAAGCTTCATAGGAAGCTTTGTGCTGAGGAATTCACAGATAAATTCTTCCTTTCCCTTCCGGCTCTAAAATTCTATCCTTCTCCAAAATGTCACACTTGCCCTCTTTGTATTTCACTGCAATTCCATTGCAGCAAAAGGTTTTCCTCAGCTACCCAAGGGTTTAGGCTGTAAAGTGCATGTACTCCACACTAAAAGTAAATTCTTGCATTAGTTATCCAAACTGTTTGAAATGAGGAACCACGTTTTCAGCTCATATCTCCCTCTTTATCAGCAAATAGTAATTTAAAGCCGTTTACTGGGGCTGTGGTTCCCCGGTGACAGACTGTGGCCTATTAAAATTAATCCTGACAGAAGACCCTTGCTGCTTTCTCCAAGCACATTCAGGCTGTGGGTTTATGAACAGGATGAACAGACGGCCCATCCCAGAGGGCTTGAGGGAGGAAGCATGTTAAAATGGCCGCCTGCGTCTTTGTTTGCTCAGCTGCCTGGAAAAACCAGGACGGAGGGAAATGGGATTAATCAAGGGGGCAGTTGCCCATGGAAAAAAAATAGGAAAACTCAGGAAGACTCTGGTGAGAAAATCTCAGCCAAATAAGGTTAAAGTTGGAGGGAAAGAATTCTCTCCTCTTCAGACTTTCACGTGGTTGAGTGCTGTTTGGTGACAAAACTCCCGTTTCAGGCCACCACAGTGTTTGATGATCTTTTTGATAGGGTGGGAAGAGGTAATTTGGAAAAAAACAATTAAATGTTTGATTCCCCAAAATTTCATGTAGTTTTAATTTTTAATTAGCAAATTTAATAAATATTATTGGTTAGATACGTGACTATTGGTTAGATATTGGTAGATATTAGATCATTGGTTAACTATTGAATCACTGATTGTGACTGAATAAGATCTTTCCATGATTTCTCATATGAGTAAATTCACAAACCAGAAAAAACATCCTTGAAAGATCACGTGTACTGATCTTT